GGACAATTCTTTATCCTGAACAATTTTCACAACTGTTGGAGGAGATGAAGATCCTCTAATGACTGAGTCATTGACGGGGTCTGATGTTAGGCGTTTATGTGATGGACCCTTTCCTGCATGTGAAATTGGTGATTGCTGTGCAAAATAAATTTTCAAGATAGGAACAAATATAGTTAGAAGAATGATAAGTCAACAAGCAATACGCATAAGTTTTTACAAACACACAAATGGAGTACTTCAATTTCATAAAGGCTATACCTTTTGTGACAATCCTTTATCCTGAGTTGAAGTAGCAGACTCCTCTATTGCTTTGGACAAAATTGATTTGTTGATGGTAGATGTTACAGTTTTACGAGATTTAGAAGTTTTCTACACAAAATAAACAAAATATTCAAATACTTTACAAGGTAGTATTAAAGTAAAAATAAGTAAATGATTGCATTTTCAAAATTATTACCACAGCATCCTTGGTCTTTTCAATTTCTTTCTTGAGCGTTAGCTGAGAGAGAGGTAAAGTAAAAGGTGCCGATCTCCTGTTCTTATCTCTCTTATTATTGGCAATACGATTTCCTGCAGCATCTTTCCCAGTACGTAACGCTTCATCAACATCACTTTCCACTTCTGCAACAGAACCATGAAAAATATACATTATACTTTCCTTGGATAGATAAAGAGTTGGTCACAATATCAATATGTTAGATTAAAATAAAGAAAAGTTAAAATAATAAATCATCTTGAAGATACCAAACAGGTGGGTAATGACCATACTTGGAAATAAAATTATCTAGCACACAACGATAGGTTATGTCTACAAAACCTCACCTGACATGAACAAGATGTAATATAACACCATTGTTTGAATAGAATTTGTGGAGGCTGTTGAGCCTTTCTTAATGATCCCATACTCGGTCTTTGGATCGTGGTCTAATGGGCCATCAGGACGAAAGGGCCAATACATCAAATCCGGAGTCGTTACAAACATGTCCGCGGCTTTAAATTTGAACCATTTCTTGTCTTCGAGACGGCGGGCGATCACCCAGATTGTATTCGTGGACATTGTGGCTAAAAGTTGCTGGTTCAACAGTTAAAACAGTGTTCTTCACTACCTCGTCACCAGTGACCGGCACGAACCGCCCGAAAAAGGTGCTTGAACTGTTTCGGAAGTCAAAGATGGGACTATTTTTACGTATCAGGGCAATTCCAGAAAAAAGCGGAAGTGGTGGTCAACATTTGAAATTGGTGCTAGAGACGTGGCGAAAATTGCTCCGTGTTGTCAAAGGTCCATATTTTCGTAATCCGCAAAAACATTGGCAAAAATGTTTCTACTTGAGTTCGTTTCCGAGCTCTGATTGAGGCCTTCCCTCTCGAGAACAATACATAGCACTTGCAAGCCTTTTTCCTTTTCCGTTAAAAGAGCCCTTCCACTCAAAATTTTTTGGAGCTCTCTTCTGATTATTGTTAGGTAGGCCTTCTAAAACACGTAAGACCACTCGTCAGCGGTGCCCGTGTCATATGTGCTTCAGAAAAGCCCCCCAACTTTTTTTCAAAAGCGCGTGTCCGTCGGTGACAATTTTGGTGTTTTTTTTCTATTTGTGTGAATCCTGCCGGGCTACGTTTTCGACACTTCGGGTGCAAAGCAAGTTCGTTATGAGGAACAAATTTGGTCTTAATGTCCGAGGTCGAAAAACGCTCGGAACAGGGTGAAAATCGCGTCACCGACGGACGCTGTCACTGACAGACGCTGTCGCTGACGGACGCTGTCACTGGCAGGCGCTATCACTGACGAACGCCACGAACATTAATCTGCATAGAATATTGTTTGTCGAGATTTTCTTACTTTACCTTATCCCGCCCTCTTGGCAAAAACGAAATCATAGTCTTTCCTTTTTTCTCTTCCCCCTCCCCCTCCTTGCATTTAAGAATGCACGGAAAGTGTGCCCAGTTTGAACCCCATTCACAGGGCGGGGAGAGAGCCAGAAAATCGCTCTCTTTTGGACCATATTAAGGGTGTCCTTGCCTACTATGTGACTATTTGCAGAGCCCCACATGTGCAACCGTTTAGGAGTTATGGCTGGTCAAAGTCGACGAATAATCCATTCGTACGTGTCCGTCGGTGACGCTGTCCGCGTCCGTCGGTGACGCCACTTTTTCTTCTATAACACAGAAACGGAGGCGAATCTAGCGAAGTACTGTATATAGACAGATAGCTGCATTCCTTGGTCTCAAGACACTGCCCTCGTCGAATTTTTAACCCCACTAAATTCGCTGAGTTTTAAGAGAAACTAACACCATGTCGAAACCCACTTCCGTTTTATGTCCGTAAGTGACGGCCTTTTTGCCAAAGGATAAAATCTAAACGACTCATCGCACAGAGTCCGCTCGAATGCCATTGGAAAGGGCTTAAAAAGTACTTCAAGAGCCATCTTAGTTCGGTTCGATTAGTCCAGATCTTCCCTTTTAAAACCAGAAAAAAGCCGCGATTTTTGCGTACGAACGTCCGTAAGTGACGCTTGGAATTGCCCACATATGGAAGACAAGATTGTGCTTTTGCCATACAACGAGAAGGGAAATCACTGGAAGTTAGCTGTAGCTGATTTTAACAATTTAACCTTCGCCGATTTTGACCCTTATCACCCTGAAATATCGTCCGGAAAGACGTTCAACAGCTTCATTTCCTTCATCACGAAGAGGAATAAAATTGGATTTGAGATGATCACCACAAACGGGTGGATTGAAAAATGTTCCTTTCCGTTTTGCCCAAAGCAGAAACCGTACGACACAACTAACTGTGGTTTGTACGTGATTTACTATGCCTTCGTATTACTTGGAATTGAAAAAGCAGATTTGGAATTTGATCCCGTGCAATTCAGAAGGAAACTTCAGATGATTCTACTCGAGTTTGCAGCAGATATGACAAAGCCTTTGCGTGAAGTGTGGAAAAGATCAATATGCTTTAGCGAGAAGAAATTTCGGAGAAATGATTTTCTGTACTTCGTGCCATCGCTGGCTTTACGTGAAGTGTTCACCTAAGTTAAAAAAAACGTGTCAGTGAAGAATATAGGTCAGAAAGTTATTCATTCATTTGTGATGTATGTGAGGAGTACATAGATTAAGCAATTCTGCATGGAATCGTGAACATTAAACAAAACGTTTCCAACTGGGGAAATTTACTTGGCCGTGTAACTGCTCTGGAAAACTAAAGGGAAGGTTCTAAGGTGTTACACACCAATTTCGCTGGGCGCGATACATATTGCAGGGGACATAGGTAGATTATGATTGACACCGGTTTTAGCTGCCCATACTACGTTTTTCGTTTGTTTTGGTCAATTTTTAGTAGGAAAACATCATAAAACCAGAAAAAATGTGATCTTCAAATGCCTCTCCGGAACCGTTTGAGCTACGCCATCCAGATTTTGCACAGAGGTAGTCCGCATAGATACCTCAATTGTCTAAAAATATGGGTAGAGTCGAAAAAAATTGTTGAAATGGTCCGAAATCCAAGTAAGGAAGGTGCACATAGATTGTGACATTTTCTTCTATGTTTTTCGAAAAAAATGATACTTCACGATAATTTAGTTACAAATTCGGCCTACCTGTGCAAAATCTGGGGGGTGTAGCACAAACGGTTCCGGAGATATAGGCATTTGAAGATCACATTTTTGCTGCTTTTATGATGTTTTCCTACTAAAAATTGTCCAAAACAAACGAAAAACATAGTATGGGCAGCTAAACCCGGTACCAATCTTAATCTACATATGTCCCCTGCAATATGTACGTAGCGAAATTGGTGTGTAACACCTAAAAACCTTCCCTTGTAAGTGTGTACTTGAATACAGTACCTCCTGCATACATGAAGGTATGCCCTGGGGTAGACAAGTTCTAGACGCATTGAGACGTATTTCAGACACATTATAGACAGAGTAAACTAGTATTTGTCTACTTTCTGATCACATTTGTTTACTACGAGGTCTAGAAACTGTCTACTTTCGTCTTCACTTGCCTACTTTTAGGCTGATGTCTGCATGTAGTCTACTTCTAGTCTATTCTTGCGTCTTGGTGATGTCTACTATTTAACTACTGATTGCCTATCAGTGCGACACCTACTCCCTGTCTACTCTACGTCTAAGAGTAGTATAGATTCCCCCTAGTCACCCGCCGCTATTTTGATTCCCCCTAGTCACCCCGGCCCCAAGTGACCCGGCGCCATCTTGAAAGAGCAAGGGAGGGCCTAAC